CTAATTCTTCCTATCAAAAGAATGTTGGTACATTTAAAATTTCATTTCTTGTGGATGTCACTGCCTGAGCCAGTATTTATTGCCCGTCCCCAGTTGCCCTTGAGAAGGTGGTGGTGAGCTGCCTTCTTGAACTGCTGCAATCTGTGTGCTGTACAGTGACCCCATAATGCCTTTAGGGAGGGAATTCCAGGATTTTGACCCAGCGACATTGAAGGAACAGTGATATATTTCCAAGTCAGGATGGTGAGGGGCTTGGAGGGGAACTTGCAGGGGGATGGCATTCCCATGTATCTGCTGTTCTTGTCCTTCTAGGTAGTAGTGATTGTGGGTGTGGAACAAGAGGGTTGTGGTGATGAAGGTGTAAAATGTAGAGGAGATAATGGGGATTTATGATGGAGTTGTAAGGTGTCGGGTGGGGGTAACAGAGGAGATGTATGGTGTGGAGGAGGCAATGGGATTGGAGTAAGGTATAGGGAGTTAATGGGAGAAATATAGTGGGCTAACAGGAAAAGCATCAGGTGTTTGAAGTAAGGGAGAAGCTGTAAGGTTTTGGGGTGATGGTGCAGTTAAGGGGAAGGTGATTTGTTTGGGATGTGATGACAGAAGGGGAGGAGGAAGTATCCAGGGAACTGGGATCTAGACAGAGAAGAGAGTGAGAGGGAAGCAGGAGGGGGGCTAGATAGGTCTGATGGAGGTACAGAAGGAGAGGAGATGAGGTGGGGCTGGAGGAGTGGGATGGGAAGATAACCGTTTGGGCCCGTTGCTGTAATAACCACATTTGAAGTAATCATTTGGTGAAAACTGACAGTTATTTATGCAACTTCCCCAGAGACCATTGAGAAAGTGTTTGTTAAAATCTAGAAGTTAGTAAACAGTTCCTTCTGCTCTTCTGACTTTCTAAAGGAGCAGAACATTCCCAGGTCGTCCCTGAGTCAGATGTCAACAGAATCAGGACCCAGTCACAAACCAGAAAACACATCCCACAGGCAGACAGCCCCGGAGTGTTGTTGTGAAGGGATCTCAAACAATGCAGCACACCCTGAGGACCACACTGCAGTCTCAGCCTGGTTACTGGGCTATGGAGAGGGACTTGGTTCAAAATATTGTACCGAGTCCAGAGGGAGACTACTTGACCTGTGATTTGTAAAATAATAGAATAGCCTCTTGGGAATTGAATGGGAATTGGGTGCCATTTCATATTTCAAATTAGCAAAGAAAAGTCAAACATGCATGTATTGTTTATTGGTACCTGGTGTTCAAAATCATGAGGGGTCTGGGCAGATTGGAGAAAAGGAAAATACTCAACCCATTGGTGAAGGGATCAAGAAAGTGTGGGTGCAGATTTGTGATCAGTGAGAAAAGCAAAGCCAATATGAGGGTTCGCATTTTTACGGGGTGAGGACTGCACTGTGTTATGGGGAGAAGGTAGGGGACTGTCAATAGATGAATTGCTTTTGATGGGCCAAACAGCCTCCTGTGCTGTAATAATTCTGTGATACTGCACTGGTCCAAACCCAATCCACAGCCAGTGAAGTACTTCTTCAAATTTCGCCAACATGGAGAATGTGGCAGCAAATTTGCACACAGTGAGATCCCACAAATGGTCATATGATATTGGTCAGTGCTTTTCTAGTGACCCAGGACACTGGGGAAAATTCCTCTGCTTTTCTCTGAAGTGTTACAACATGCGATGCTTTACATTTAGTAAAGGAAAAGGGACAGAGGTAGTGATGCATTTTTAAATTAGGTTTGGTTTGGCCTTGTCATTTTTTTTATTCAGTTGTGCAAAGGAAATGGGGGAGGGGAGTTCTGTAAGGCAGTCCTGTGGTTCAGTGCACAGACCAGAGTAAATTGAGCAGTGTATGAGTAGCACATCCAGACGGCACGGGGCTCGGGGAGGTGGAGAGAAGTGGTAGTAGAGCTGAATGATTGCGAAATGATGCCTGGCCAAACACATTTTCTGGGCATTTCTACAAAAAAGGGAAGAGAGCTGTTGCTGGAAGCTCCCTTTGGAACTCTAGAGCTGTAGGCATTTCAGACGGTGCTTAATTGCTTTGGTTTAAAAACAACTTCCCCCACCCCCCCAAGAAAACCCCACACCCCACACACAGGCTCACACACACGCATTCATTCTCTGATACATTCACACATACAGACATATGCAGATACACAAGCATACTCCACACACTCTGAGATACATACTCACGGGCACACTTGCATACAGACAGACACACAGGCACAACATGTACTCACTCTCATACGTATACACTCATGCAGACACACATACTGACAGCATAAACACTGCTTCAACACACACAAACGTGCTCACTCACTCCCTGAAACGTGTAAACTCCGGGACATTGACACACACACACATGCACACAACTCTTACACATTCTCCCACACTTGCACTCTCAGACTCACATTGCAATTGCTTCTTTGCTAATGAGGGGGAAAAATGAGTAGTTGGGGTATGGAATATATTACCTGGAAATGTGGTGGAGGCAGGTTCAATTGAGACATTCAAGAGAATATTGGATGATTATTCAAAAGAAACAGTATGCAGTGTTATCAGGGATAAAGAACAGAGAAATTGCATCATAAGAAATATGAACACAGGTAGACCATTCAGTCCGTTGAACTGCTCTATCATTCAATGAGATCATGGCTGATCTGATAACCCTCAATTCCACTTTCCCCTGCCTTTTCTCTGCCTTTTTGTGGTGGGACCAAAGAGTCTGTTTTCATGCTGAATAACTCCTAAATCATGTTGTTCTGTAGCTTTCCGCAGTCTTTTTCATTTAAATAATATTCAGCTCCTCTGTTCTTTCTCCCAAAGTGCATAACCTCACATTTCCCCAGATTATATTCCATCAGCAAAGTTTTTGTCCATTCAGATAACTTGCCTATATCCCTCTGCAGACTCTTTGTTACCCTCGCCACTTGCCATCTAAGTCATTAATATATATTGTATAAAACTGTGACCCCAGCACTGATCCCTGTGGCACTGCACAAGTTGCAGGTTGCCATCCTGAAAATGCTCCCCCTTATCCCAGCTCTCTGTTTTCTGTTAGTTACCCAATCCTGTATCCATGCTGCTGTTCTACCTCCAAACCTTGTGCTCTTTTCTTATTAAGTAGCTTAATATGTGATACTTTATCAAATGCCTTCTGAAAATTCAAATTCAAATATTCCACTGATCTCAGCTTTGATCTCTTTGTACCCAAAATGGCCATAAAAATCATAACCATTAACTACTATTTGTGCCATTAATAAATTTGTTTTAACTACTGTATGCATTCAAGTGAAGAGCAATTAATGTTTTCCCTTTTGTTTTTACTATTTTCCCCCCTTTTGATCCTAATTACTGCTGTTTTTCTATGTTGGTAAACTCTTTTTCTCCCTGCCCCAACCTGGGTAATGATATCCAAATAGTTGTGTTGTAGTGTTACTCTTGCTTTATAAGCCTACACTTGCCCTTTCCCAAACCCTACCACCTCCCCTTCTAATTAGTTTAAAGCCACCCCTACAGCCCTGGTTATTTGATTTGCCAGGAATAAATAATAAGTAATTGTTGTCCTTGATGGTACCAGTGATGTTGATAGGACTGTGACATTGATGTGAGGGGGTTGATTTTCCATGAGGCTGTGGGTGAGGGGTCAGAATGTTGGGACCTGGCTGGGGGATGTGTAGATAGCCACGAGGCTGCAGATGTGGGTGTGAGAGATGTGTCTGTGCAATAATTATAAAGTTAATAGAAAGTAAATGTAAGTGGAAATAACTTCTCAATAAGTGTCAATATTTATGCTTTGTCGTCTACCAAGTTGACACTGCGTGGTTTCTCCTGTACCAGGCTGTGATTTGCTGTGTTTTTGAACACTCTGTTTGTACCTTGTCCACACTCCTGTTAATCAGAAAAGATAAGGTTATCCAGTACTTTCATATTTATATCTCCAGCATCTGCAGTACTTTGCTTTGATTTAAGATAAGGACCCTCTCTTGGATTTGATATCATAGTGTTGCCTGTGTCTGGGGTAGCCTGAAACAAAGACACCTATCAACTAACCACAACAGGACAAGATAGAGCCTCCTCACACTGACCTGGTCAGCTGTGGAACCTCCTTGTCAAGAGGCAATGAAAGCCTTGGGATGATGTAATCCACCTCAGATTGGTTGAGGTTGGTTCGCCATTTGGATGTGTTTGAAATGCTCCTGTGTCAGTGTCCTGATTCCTCCTCTTCACACACTTGTATTTGGTTATTTAATTTATCTGATGTAGATATCACAGGCAAGGATACCATTTAGTGCACATCCCTAATTGTTCTTGAGAAGGCGGTGGTGAGCTGTCTTCTTGAACCACTGCAGTCCATGTGCTGTAGATTGACCCACAGTGCCATTACTGAGGGAGTTTGATCCAGTGACAGTGAAGGAACAGTGATATATTTCCAAATCAGGATGGTGAGTGGCTTGGAACGGAACTTGCAGGGGGCGGTGTTCCCATATGTCTGCTGCCCTTGTCCTTCTGGATGGAAGTGGAAGTGAGTTTGGAAGGTGTTGTCTGAGGATCTTTAGTAAATTTCTGCAGTGCATCTTGTAGATAGTACACACTGCTGCTACTGAACGTTGGTGGTGGAGAGAGTGAATGTTTGTGGGTATGGTGCCAATCAAGTGGACTGCTTTGTCTTGGATGGTGTCCAGCTTCTTGAGTGTTGGTGAGCAGCAGATGGGCTTTTCCATCACTTAAGTAGTTTCGTGATCATCAACACTGAGACTAACTTTGTATTATTTAAATTTCCCAACTCAGTGCTGTAATGTGAGCTTGTGTCTCTGTATGAAAGTCCAGACCTCTGAAATACTGGTGCTCCCGCTTCCTCTTGCTGTACACGATCACGATGTTTCGGAAGATATCCGATTGTCCTACTAGAGCGACCAGGTTGTGATTTGGTGACCCACTAGGGGACTCCTGGATTACTGCTGTAACAGTCCATGTCTCTCCACAGGTACGACACCGGATATCTGGGCAGGTGATGGTTCTCAAGATGAATAAGCTGCCGAGTAACCGCGCCAACATGCTTCGTGAGGTGCAGCTGATGAATCGGCTCTCGCACCCCAACATCCTGCGGTGAGCTCTTTGCTGTTAATTTCTCCTTCTTTGTCTCTCTGCCACACTCCTCTCCTTAAAACCTACAATCTCAACTTCAGTTCTGCATCAGTCTCGAAGTGTAAGTATCACTGGTAAGGCCAGCATTTACTGTCCATGTTTTCTTGGGGCAATTGATGCTGGACACCTTCCTTGTGAAGCTCTTGTGTAGGTCATACTGTTTGCAAAGGATATTCAAGTGATTTGATTCAGTGACAGTGAAGAATTGACTGCTGTGTGTCAAGGTCAGGATGGTTTGTGCCTTTAAGGAGACCAAGGGGATGACCCTCCACTGCCCCTACTCGCCCACTGCCACATTGCTGCTGTCCATGACTTTCCAGATCATAGGTTTGGGATTTGCTGCATTTTTCTCGGATGCTCTATCCCCACTGATTCCTTTGATAATATTCCACGTGTATCTCGTTCAATCTGCCTCGTTGTTTCCCACAGCGAGAACATTTCCTTCTCTTGAGTCAGTGATTCCTTGAACATGTTGAGAGAGAGCGGTTTCAGGACTTTAGGGGAATCAAAGGTGATGGGGAGCAGGTAGAATAGTTGAGTTAAGGTCAATATCAGATCAGCTTTGATCCTATTGAGTGGCAGAGCAGGCTCTAGGGGCTGAATGGCCTAATAGGGAGGTGGTGGCTTAGTGGCAATGTAGAAACTTAGAAACATAACATAAAAGATAGGAGCAGAGGAGGCCGTTTGACCCTTCGAGCCTGCTCCACCATTCATCACAATCATGGCTGATGGTCCAACTCAATAGCCTCCTCCTGCTTTCTCCCCATAATCTTTGATCTCATTCGCCCCCAAGTGCTATATCTAGTCACCTCTTGAATACATTCAATGTTTTAACATCAACTACTTCCTGTGGTAATGAATTCCACAGGCTTGCCACTCTTTGGGTGAAGAAATGTCTCTTCTTCGTTCTAAATCGTCTACTCTGAATCCTCGTACTGTGACCCCTGGTTCTGGACATACCCACCATCAGGAATATCCTACCTGCATCTACCCTGTCCAGTCCTTAGAATTTTATAAGTTTCCTGTGATCCTCCACCGCGCCACCACCCCCCCAACCAACTATTCATCTGAACTCCAGCAAAAACAATCCTAACCTAGTCAATCTGTCCTCAGACGTCAAACTCGCCATCCCCGGAATCAGCTGGTAAACCTTTGCTGCACTCCCTCGAGAGTAAGAGCATCTTTCCTCAGAAAAGGAGACCAAAACTGCACACAATATTCCAGGTGTGGTCTCGCCAAGGCCCTGTATATCTGCAACAACACATCCCTGCTCCTGTACTCCAAACCTCTCGCAATGAAGGCCAACGTACCATTTGCCTTCATTACCCCCTGCTGCACCTGCATGCTTACATTCAGTGACTGGTGCACGAGGACACCCAGGTCCACTGCACACTCCCCTCTCCCAATTTACAGCCAATTAGGTGGTAATCTGCCTTCTTGTTTTTGCTTCCGAGGTGAATAACTTCACATTAATCCAAATTATAATGCATCTGCCATTGATTTGCCCACTCACCCAATCTGTGCAGAGCATGCTGAAGGATCTCTGCATCCTTGTCACAGTTCACCCTCCCATCCATCTTGGTATCATCTGAAAACTTGGAGATTTTACGTTTTGTTCCCTCCTCCAAATCATTCCTAATATATTGTGAATAGCTGGGGTCCCAGCACCGATCCCTGTGGCACTCCACTAGTTACTGCCTGCCAATTTGAAAAGGACCCATTAATTCCTACCAAGATGTATAGCTGGACTAGTAATCGGAACTTGATTTATATTCTGGGGGTATAGGTTTGAATAACACTAGGACGTGTGGTGAAATTGAATTCACTTAAAATCTGGAAATGAAAAGCTAGTCTAATCATGACCGTGAAACTACTGCTAATTATTATTTTTTTAAAAATCTGGTTCACTAATGTCCTTTTAGGGAAAGAAACTGCCATCCTTACCTGGTCTAGCCTACATGTGACTCCAGACCCACAGCAATGTGGTTGACTCTGAACTACCCTATGGTCAATTGGGGATGGACGATAAATGCTGGCCCAGCCAGCAACACTGACATCCCAGTAACCAATAAATAAAGAAAATTCCTGCTCCTATTTCTCACAATCTGCCCACAATGTCAAATTAGATTTTACATGTTTGGGCAAGGTACACAAGTCTTATCAGGAAGTTGGTTCATCCATCTCATTCTCATTCCCAAGTTCAGAGTCACAATCAGCAGCCTGCCTACCATATGTAAGGAAGTAATTAAGTGACAATTGACCTTGTTAAAGCTGAACTGATCTGAGTATGACAGTTTCATTGACATAATGGGGTCAGCTAGGGTTAGAGTGGGATTGACGATTTTCATTTTTAAGAACAGAAGTTTCAGAAAAGCTCAGCAGGTCTGGCAGCATCTGTGAACAGTTCTAAGGAAGGGTCACTGGACCCGAAACGTTAACTCTGATTTTTTTCTTCACAAATTGAGCTTTTCCAGCAATTTCTGTTTTTGTTCCTGATTTACAGCATCCGCAGTTCTTTCGGTTTCATTTTTGTGAAGTTCTGAAAACATTGGGAAGGAAATGGGTGTGCTTTCACTGGATGGTACTCCACACCACCCTTCCTGAAAAGGACCACACCCTCTTCCTTCCCACAGGGCAGGGGAGGTGATGGCTGGTGGTATTATCGCTGGACTGTTAATCCAGAGACCCAGAAAATGTTCTGGGGACCCGGATTCGAACCATGGCAGATGGTGGAATTTGAATTCAATAAAATATCTGGAATTAAGAATCTAGTGATGACCGTGAATCCATTGTCAATTGTTGGAAAAACCCATCTGGTTCACTAATGTCCTTTTAGGGAAGGAAACTGCCATCCTTACCTGGTCTGGCCTACATGTGACTCCAGACCCACAGCAATGCGATTGACTCTGAACTGCCCTCTGGGCAATTAGGGATGGGTAATAAATGCTGCCTAGCCAGCGATGTCCTCATCCTGTTGATGAATAAAGGACAGGCTTTTTTTTTTAAAACCCCTCCCCTTTTGCTCGCTCTCCCTGTGTTGTTGAAAGAGCCTCAGCCCAGAGCCTCCAGTTGTGTCTGGATCTGGGATCCATTGGGTCTCCTGAATGAGACCTGGAATCCTGGCAACACCAGATCTTGGGGCTGAGCTGGGACTGATTGGCTCCAGAGGTTGAGGCTTCCTCCCAGTGGGGATGGGGGTTGGTTCTGCCTCCTGCTGCACATTATGTCTGGGAAGGGGGATGGTGGGATGTTCACCAGCCACTAACTGTGTTTCCTGGTGGTTGGAGATGGGGTGCGGTAGTAATGGTGGTCAAGCCGCCTGAGCCTTCAGTAATTTTCCATCTGGTCATAGAATCATAGAATCTGTACAGTGTGGAAACAGGCCCTTCGGCCCAACAAGTCCACACCGACACACAGAACATCCTACCCAGACCTATCCCCCTAATCTACACATCACTGAACACTATTTAGCATGGCTAATCCGCCTAGCCTTCACATCTTTGGATTGTGGGAGGAAACCAGAGCACCCAGGAAACCCACGCAGACACTGGGAGAACGTGCAAACTCCACACTGACAGTCGCCCGAGGGTGAAATGGAACCCAGGTCCCCGGCGCTGTGAGGCAGCAGTGCTAACCACTGTGCCGCCCACTATCCTGATGCTGCTCATTGACTGTAGTAGTCTCTGGTTCCTCAGCTGCTCCAGACTAAAGCTCCAGGGTTTCTGTTCCACTCTCTTCACAGCCTCATGTTTCTCTGTCTCTGCCACATTGTCCAGCCCCAGAGCACCAGGCAAAACAACTTTTCATTCATCCTCAGGCCTCTCTGCATCTCTCACCCTTGACAGCTGCGTGTTCAATCATGTATGACCTACTCAGTGGAGTTCACTCCCTGTGACTCATTGAGCAGAAAGTTAGCCTAAGGTTTGAAACAATAGCATGTAAATAATCCAACTGGGGAAGGGTCATATGAGACCTGATATTGGGGAATGAGACCGGCCAGGTGAAGTTTTAGTGGGGGAGCATTTCGGGAACAGAGATCATAATTCTGTAAGTTTTTAAATTGTGTGTTGCTACAGGCTTACCAGATCATAGGGCTGCTCTCTCGTTACAGAGAAATGACCAGTGGTGATTTAACCTAAGGGTCATCATATCTCGGGCAAGGGAAAGGTTGAGAAGGAGAGTCCTTATTGGTAACCTCAGCCAGTGATGAGAATTAAACCATCACACTACTTTGCAAACTAATTGTGCTACTTATGAATAAGCATAAGAGTAGTCCTCGGGTATAAGGACTCAACTGGGGGAAGGCTAAGTGTGCCAAATTGAGGATAAATCCACATCTGGCATGTGAGAATCTTTTAAAGCATGCGGGATCAGCCTGTTCCCGTGAAAATGAAGCTTAGGGATGGCAAGATGCAGGAACATTGAATGACCAAAGAAATTGAAAGCTTAGTCAGTAAGAAAAAGGAGGCATACATTGGGTTTAGTAAACTGAAGACAGGCAGGGCTCTCAAAGAATACAAACAAAGCAGAAAAGAACTCAAAACAAGGAATTAGGAGGGCTAAAAATGTCTTTGGCAAACAGGATTAAGGCACTTTATACATATTTAGGGAGCAGAAGGATAAGGAAAGGGTAGGTCTACTCCAGGATAAAAGAGGGAATCTATGCGTGCAGCTGGAGGAAGGGGGTAATTTTCTTAATGGAAACTTTGTATCGGTATTCGCAAAGGAGAAGGAAGTGGTGGATGGTGAGTCTCAGAAGGGGTATGTTGATATTCTGGGAAATGTCAATATAAAAAAGGAAGAGGTGCTGGGTGTTTGGAAAAGTATTGAAGTCTGTTGACCAGATTTATCGAGAATGCTGAGAGAAACAAGTGGGGGAGATTGCTGGGGCTTGGTACAAAATCTTTTTGTATCCTCTTTAGCCACAGGAGAGGTCCCAGAGGACTGGAGAATAACCAATG